AAATAAATTAGTGAGATGTTATATTATAAAAAAAAAATTTACCAAAATGTTAGATTTGAACTTCTTCATGATGTGAACGAATTTTATTTTATTTTATTTTTTGTGACATTTTTTTTTTCAAAATGGTGGGCAAGTGGGCACATCGCTTTGGGGATGGAGCTGTTTAAGGTACTCCCCTCCCCATCAAGGTCGATTCTAAGATTCAATCCCTCGCCTTTTGGGTAACCGAAAGATCCAGGGCCTAATTAGCTTCCACTATATCAAACCCTAATGGGTAACAATTTTTAAATGAGGAAATCACAAATAAAGACCCTCGAATTAGCAAAATCACTCTATGGTCACCTGAATATGCTAAATTACTATGAGGGACCCGGTCTCAAATTGTAATTATGAAATCATGGCCAAATTACCAAAATACCCCTCTTTAATTTTTTTTTTTTAAAAAAGAAAGCCACTACCTCACCGGAATCCGGCCACCGGCGCCGAAGCTCCGGCGGCCGCTTCCGGCCACTGTCGGCGGCAGGACGCCGGAGCTCCGGCGTCGGCGGCCGCTTCCGGCGGTCTTCCTTTGTTTTTTTTTTTTTTGAAACTGTTTTTTTTTTTTTAAATTGGGGGGATTTGATCCCCCAACCTAATGCTTCCCAAAATAAGGAATGACCATTGAGCCAACAAATTTTTGTTAACATTATGATGCAAAAAAAAAAATAAGTTAACTCATTTACTCTTGTTCCAGGTGATAACAGCAATACATTTGGAAATAACAAGTTCTGATTGTAAAATAACACGTCTGGAATAAAAATTTAACAATATGTTTTTTTTATAACAATAAATTTTGTTGCAGGCAATAACAACAATACATTTAAAAATAATAAGTTTTGATTATAAAATAACAAGTTTGGGATTAAAATTTAACAACACGTTTTTTTTTATAACAACACACTTTATTTCAAGTGATAACAACAATACATTTAAAAATAACAAGTTCTGATTATAAGATAATAAGTTTGGGATTAAAATTTAACAACATGTTTTTTTATAACAACACACTTTGTTTCAAGTGATAACAACAATACATTTGGAAATAACAAGTTCTGATTATAAAATAACAAGTCTGGAATTAAAATTCAACAGCACCTTTTTTTTATAACAATTAATTATTTTATACTTTTGGAAAATAAATTATTTATAACTTATAAAAAGTACTTGTAATCTATTTAATTTGCTAAAAAAATAATTTTTATCTCCAATTTATAATCAAAACTTGAAGTATAATTTTTTATAGATTAAAAATACTTTTTTATTGTTCAAATTTATAAATAAAATTTAGGGAAAATGGCAACACATTTTTTTATTTTTTTTAAAAAACTTTTAATCTATATATCTATACAACTTATTATAAATCAAACTACTTCTTATAAATTATAAATAGTACAATTTATTGTGGATTAAAAATACTTTTTGACTGCTTAAATTTATAAATGAAATTTATCTCTAATTTATAATTAAAAATACTATTTTATTCTTTAAATATAAAACTATTTTTAATATTTAAAGAATGAAATAATATAAAATTTATACTATGATTAATAAATCAAAAATGCCTTATTATAAATACTTTATAATTTATAAGAAGTAGTTTGATTTATAATGAGTTGTATAGATATACAGATTAAAAAGTATTTTTTAGAGAAATAAATGTATTAAAAATATTTTTTATACGTTATAAATAATTTATTTTTTAAAAGTATAAAATAATTAATTGTTATAAAAAAACGTGTTGTTAAATTTTAATTCTAGACTTATTATCTTATAATCAAAACTTGTTATTTTTAAATGTATTGTTGTTATCACTTGAAACAAAGTGTATTGTTATAAAAAAAACGTGTTATTAAATTTTAATCTCAAACTTGTTATTTTATAATCAGAACTTGTTATTTTTAAATGTATTGTTGTTATTACCTGCAACAAAATTTATTGTTATAAAAAAAAATATTGTTAAATTTTTATTCCAGACGTGTTATTTTACAATCAGAACTTGTTATTTCCAAATGTATTGTTGTTATCACCTGGAACAAGAGTAAATGAGTTAACTTATATTTTTTTTTCATCATAATGTTAATAAAAATTTGTTGGCTCAATGGTCATTCCTTATTTTGGAAAGCATTAGGTTGGGGGATCAAATCCCCCCAACCTCACTTCCCCCCAATTTAAAAAAAAAAAACAGTTTCAAAAAAAAAAAAACAAAGGAAGACCGCTGGAAGCGGCCGCCGGCGCCGGAGCTCCGGCCGCCGGACTCCGGCGTCCTGCCGCCGATAGTGGCCGGAAGCGACCGCCGGATTCCGGTGAGGCAGTGGCTTTCTTTTTTTAAAAAAAAAAATTAAAGAGGGGTATTTTGGTAATTTGGCCATGATTTCATAATTACAATTTGAGACCAGGTCCCTCATAGTAATTTAGCATATTCAGGTGACCATAGAGTGATTTTGCTAATTCGAGGGTCTTTATTTGTGATTTTCCCTTTTTAAATTATGAAGAACTCATTTTTCACAATAACGAGTTGTTCTATGTTATATTTCTCTCCCCATCACATCATATCATTAAATTTGACATTTATTTTTTAATTTAAATAACAAAGTGAAATCATTTATGTAACATTCTATTTTTTTTCTTTATCTTATTATAGGATTTAGGTTATATGAGTATGAGATTAATTCATAATATTTAATATTAAAGCTTACTGAATAAATTGTAAATCATAATTTTATGATATACATATAAATTATAAATAAATAAATAAATAAAAATTATATTAAAAAATATTTATAAAAAATTAAAAATATATATAATAAAAAGGCAAGTGGGTGGCACGTGGGCCACCCACTGCCAGTTGGAAAGGGGGGTTTAATCCCTTGGGCCGTGGCCTTCAAAGCTTTAATTAAAAAAAAATTATTAAGGCATCAAGTGTGGGCACGTGACCCACACTTGACACTTTGTTAAAAAGCACACACTCAATTCATTGTCCCTTCTTCCGTCCAGTAGCCCTTCGTGCTGTTTCGTCTTCGCTGTTCCTCTGGTTCGCCAAGAGGAAAATGTGAATGAGAGAAGGGAAATGATTAATGGAAAAGGGGAATAGGATTTTAATAATGATTGAAGGCATAGTTGATATATGGTTATTTTTCTAAGTGCTTAAGAGGTTTTTAGATAATTTGAAGGGATTATTCTTATTAATAATGTGAATGAGAGAAATAGAGTTGGGAAGTACTAGAAATTGTCACTTGGAAGAATAGATGAATTATTATTTTTCCTAAAGATAATTCTTTTTAAGGTAAGCCAATTATGTGGATTTAGTTAATAAATTATTCTAATACTATATTAATTAGTCTTTTTATATTAATATATGTTTATCAATTTATTATTATAGAGCGAGCTTGGTTTGGGCTCGGGTTTGAATCCTCCTACTTTTAGTTCTTGTGTCAAGAACTTAAGGTAACCACTTTCTAATTTATCTTGTATGCTTGTTGATGTGATTATAAGCATGTGTTGATATTATAAATATTATCATTATATGTTATAGTGGTTTGTGTATAAAAAGTGATATACATATATATCAAAATGTATGTTTTGATAAATTTATTAGTTAAATGGGCATGAATTATTTTATGAATATCTTATTGATGTTGAACAAATTTGACTATTGAATCTGAGAATACGTTATGAGTACTGGATTGTGTGGAATTGGATGGTTGAGTTGTGCTGTATTGGATTGTGCTGAAATGAAATTGTGGGAGGTTTGATTATTTATACCACGTGGTATAGCTGCCACTTGGCGCCCAGTGGTTGGCATTAACATTCTTAGGGCCCTCGGTATCATCCTTCCTTTAGCCGAGTCAAGGGTCAGTCCAAGGGACATGACACCTTTCCATATTCCAAGGAAAGGGAACCCACGGTCCGATATGAGCTCTATAACTTTTGGCGGAGTTATATCTCATTATTAGAGAGCTTGGTGCAGTCTTGTTAAAGAGACTAATCCTGTTATGTATTATTAGCCCATGGGTTCTGTTAGAGGTTACAAGGAGGTTATAACGATGGTTGATGAAGTTCTGTGCATGCAAGTTACTTTTTGAATTATTATATATTGTTTTCTGTAAAGATGTTTAACTTATATGTTATTTGAAATTGTACCTTGCCCGCTTAACTATCTTGTAATCACTCTCTGAATACTAGTTGAATTGGAATTGTGGTTACTAGGTCAATTTGACTCACCCCATGGTTATTTAACATTTTTTCAGGCGAGGGTTCTGGTGTTGGTTCCAAGGGGAAGGTGTCCGAGGCTTGAGTTTTCCTTTCCACTCTATATAGCCTCTATTTTGATATATATGATTTGACTGATGTATATTACCAAACTTTAGGGCCTTTTTGTTATACTTAACATGCGTTTAATTTTTCCGCTGCTTTCTAGACTTGAGTTATTGGGCGGAGCCTTTTTTGGTTATAGATGACTGTTATTTTGATTACGATTTTTATGGGCAGTGGTAGCAGTTATTTTGGTGGACCTAAAATGCTCTAGTCCATTCATGATTGGTCTTAGTTATCTTTGGGATTTTAGAGATTCATGATGGGATTTGTTATACACATGAAAAATCAAGTATTAATTACTTCTTATTATATTAATTATCTTTACTACTCTAGATTAGTGGCTACTGCACTGTTATGAATGTATATTGTTAATGGCTATGGTAGTTCCTACTTAAATGTTCTTGGTTAACTCTTTCCGATTAAATTGGTCATTTAAGAATTAATTATTGTATTCAGAAATGCTTAATTACCACTTATTATGTAGTCAGAGCCTCATGTTTTTGGTTTTCTTGTTTCATTTTCATTATGGCATATAGTGGCATTGGCAATATACATTGATCATACATGTGCTTCCCCTTTGTTATTAGACTTCTTTTAAGTTTTTCAAAGCCTTATCGTCTCTTGGTTGCATCCTTTGGGGGGGAGAGATGGTAGATACACGTAGGACACAGCCGGCTAATAATAATAGTAACCCAAACCAACCTCAAGAGCCCCTGGACAATGAAGCGTTCCTAAGGGACCTAAGGACATTGGTAGTCCAAATCAGTCAGCAAGTTCAGAGACATGAGCAACAGTTGAATGAAATGAGACAGGATGAGGAGCCCGTCCAAGAAAATGGGCATATCAATGCTGATGAATCAAGTAGACATCGTTCCGAAGAAGGTCACCACACTGTTATGGAGACTGGGGATAGTAGTCGGCATGAACAGAAGAAGGAGCAACCTATTAGTGATGTATGGAGGAATTTCAATAGGTGTGATCCGCCAACATTTAATGGCACCTTTAATTCGTCTAAGAGTGAGGCTTGGATCGATCACTTGGAAACTATCTTCACCTTGGTCCTATACACCTCACATCAAAGGGTGCAAGTGGCAATTATACAACTTGTTGATGCTGCTAAGAGATGGTGGGAGAGTGTTTGACCATCTGATGGCACTTTTCCTACATGGGAGGTGTTTAAGGAGATGTTCTTTCAGCACTATTTTCCTTCAGCCCTCCAATCACTGAAGGAGACAGAGTTCTATGCTTTCAACAAGATGACATGGATGTGGATGCTTTCATTGCTAAATTTCTAGAGTTGATTAAGTATACTGCTTATGGACAATCTGAAAAGAATAGCAAGTAGATGGCAGACAGGTTGTTACAGAAGGCTAGACCGGAGTTTAGACGACAGCTAGTGCCACTCCAGATTTGTTATAGAAGGCTAGACCGGAGTTTAGACGACAGCTAGTGCCACTCCAGATTGATTCTTTTGATGACATGTGTACTCGACTTTGCCTCCTTGATGCTGAGATTAAGGGTTATGGCTATGAAATTGAGCTAAAGAGGGATCCCAGGGCCGTTTCTCTTCCTTTATGAGGAGCCTAGTAGTGGGATTGGCAAGAGAAGTGGGTTCAATCCAGGAAGCTCTAGCAAGAAGAGCCGCTTCCAGAACAGACAGTCACAGAGGCCCCCACTTCCAAGGGGTAATACTAGTGGGAGCCAGTCATCATTTAAAGGCTCTACTGCTTCTGCACCTAGCACTGCATGTTCTCCAACATGTTCCAAGTGTGGCAAGCATCATCAGGGCAAGTGTTGGACTTGCTTTACTTGTGGCAAGGTGGGACATATATCTTGCCATTGCACTAAAAACAAACAGAGTGCACCAGAGACCCGATCTACTATTCCCTGCCGTGTGTTTGCGTTGACTCAAGAGGAGGCCGATGCGTCTCCCAACCTTATTAGAGGTATAATTTCTCTCCAAGGTCACAATATACATGCATTATTTGACTCTGGTGCTACACATTCTTTTATTGCCTTTGAATGTGCTAAGCGATTGAACTTGCATGTTTATGATTTGCCTTTTGATATGAATGTTTCGACACCTGCTGGATCTTCTGTAAAAACTTCAAATGCATGCTTGAATCTTGTGTTGGAGTTTGAGAGTCACAAGACAAAGATTGACTTGATTTGTTTGCCCCTTAAGGGTCTTGATGTGATTGTGGGTATGGATTGGCTAATAGCTAATAGTGCCACGCTTGATTGTAAAGCAAAAACTGTTTCTTTGCCTGTGTATTGCATGCCTATTGAGGTGCCTAGTGGCCCTCCTCTGTTATCAGTTGTTCAAGTTGACAGTTATATAAAGCAAGGATGTCAGGCCTTTATGGTCTTCTTTTCTGTGCAAGCTGAGATAGAAGAAGAGATTGATGAAATTGAGATTGTGAATGAGTTTCCTGAGGTATTTCCTAAGGAAGTGTCAGGATTACCCCCTGAGCGGGAAGTAGAGTTTTCTATTGATTTGCCTCTTGGGACAGAGCCTATCTCTAAGGCTCCCTATCGAATGGCTCCTGCTGAATTGGCAGAACTAAAGAAGCAACTTGAAGAATTACTTGAGAAAGGATTCATCAGACCAAGTGTGTTGCTATGGGGATCACCGGTGCTATTTGTGAAGAAAAAGGATGGAACCTTGCGGTTATGTATTGATTATCGACAATTAAACAAAGTCACCATCAAGAATAAATACCCACTACCAAGAATTGATGATTTGTTAGATCAATTGGTGGGGTCAGCAGTATTCTCTAAGATTGACTTAAGGTCGGGATACCATCAATTAGGAGTTAAAGCAGAAGATGTTCCTAAGACTGCTTTTCGTACTCGATACGGTCACTATGAGTTTTTTGTGATGCCATTTGGCTTAACTAATGCTCCAGCTGCATTCATGGACTATATGAACAGGATCTTCAGACCCTATTTGGATAAGTTTGTGGTAGTGTTTATAGATGACATTCTCATTTACTCATGAAATGAAGAGGAACACTGTGAGCACCTTAAAATAGTGTTACAGGTATTGAGAGAGCACAAGCTTTATGCTAAATTGAGCAAGTGCGAGTTTTGGCTCAAGGAAGTGAAGTTTTTGGGGCATGTTGTTTCAGCTAAAGGGGTTGTAGTAGACCCTACAAAAGTTGATGCAGTTCTTAAGTAGGAACAACCAAAGTCAGTGACTGAAGTGAGAAGTTTCCTAGGGTTGGCTGGTTACTATAGGAGGTTCGTACAAGGATTCTCTCAGTTGGCTATGCCACTTACTAAGTTGACCAAGAAAGACCAACCATTCGTTTGGACAAAGAAGTGTGAAGCCGCCTTTCAAGAGTTGAAAAAGAGGTTGACTTCTACACCGGTACTGATTATTCCTGACCCCGCATTGCCATATACCCTATACACTGATACTTCTTTGAAAGGTTTAGGGTGTGTATTAATGCAAGAAGGGAAGGTTGTTGCTTATGCTTCTAGACAGTTGAGACCACACGAGGAAAATTACCCAACTCATGACTTAGAGTTAGCGGCAGTGGTATTTGCATTGAAGATATGGAGACACTACTTATATCGTTCACAATTTGATGTTTTTAGTAACCATAAAAGTTTGAAGTATCTAGTGGATCAGAAGGAGCTTAATAATCGACAGAGAAGGTGGATGAAGTTTCTAAAAAACTATGACTTCCAATTGAAATATCATCCCAGTAAAGCGAATGTTGTCGCTAACGCTTTGAGTAGAAAAGCTATTCATGTATTTCAACTAAGTCTCTATGAGAACCATTTGTTAGAAAGGGTGAAGGACACTGATGTGCTAGCTGATATGGATACAATCTTGTAGGCCATGCGGATTGAGAATGAATTTTGGAAGGAGCCCAAGATAGCTCAGTTAGAGGATGACTATTTATTGAAGATTAGGGAAGTACTAGAAGAAGGAGAAGTTAGTGATTTTGAAGTTGGCGAAGATGGAATTTTGAGATTCAAAGAGAGAGTTTGTATCCCTAATGATGGAAAATCTAAGCAATACATCTTAGAGGAAGCTCATCGAAGCAGGTACACCATACATCCAGGAATCACTAAGATGTACAATGATCTAAAGCAGAACTATTGGTGGCCTGGAATGAAGAAAGATGTGACAGAATTTGTCTCCCATTATTTGACTTGTCAAAAGGTCAAAATTGAGCATCAGAAGCCACCAGGGTTAATTCAAAATCTAGAGATACCACAGTGAAAATGGGATAGTATATCTATGGATTTTGTTATGGGGCTATCGAGAACACCTAGTAATTATGATGCCATTTGGGTGATTGTTGATCATTTGACCAAGTCTGCTCATTTCTTGCCTATACGAGCTACTTATACAATGGAACAATATGCTCAATTATATGTGAAGGAGATTGTCAGATTGCATGGTGTGCCAGAGAGCATTATCTCCGATAGGGATCCAAGGTTCACGTCAGGTTTTTAGAGAGCCTTACACCAAGCTATGGGTTCGAGATTGAAATATAGTACAGCTTATCATCCACAAACCGATGGACAAACAGAGAGAACAATCCAAACTTTAGAAGACATGTTGAGGGCATGTGCCATTGAATTGAAGGGTAGCTGGGACAGTCACTTGCCACTGGCTGAGTTTGCATATAATAACAGCTATCACTTGAGCATACAAATGGCGCCTTACGAGGCATTGCATGGCAGAAAGTGTAGATCGCCGTTGTGTTGGACAAAATTGAGTGAAAGGACTATCATCAGCCCTGATTACGTTGACCGCACTACAGAAAAGATTGAAATGATTAAAAACAAGTTGTTGGCAGCTCAGAGTAGACAGAAGAGCTATGTGGATAAACGACGGAGACCCTTGGAATTTTGTGTCGGTGATCATGTATTTCTACGTGTCACTCCAATGACAGGCATTGGAAGGCCTATTAAAGCCAAGAAATTGAGTCCAAGATTCATGGGTCCATATGAGATTCTTGCAAGAGTTGGTAAAGTAGCATACCAGATTGCATTGCCACCACAGCTAGACAGGGTTCATAATGTGTTTCATGTGTCGCAATTGAAGAAGTATCAACCTGATCCCTCACACATCATTGAGCCTGAAGAGGTTGAACTTCGTGAGAATTTGACTTACCGAATAGAACCGGAGCGAATTGCAGATGTGAAGGAGAAACAACTAAGAAATAAGACAATTCGACTTGTGAAAGTCACATGGAAGGGTATGGCTCCCGGTGATGCTACTTAGGAAACGGAAGAGAAGATGCGACAATCTTATCCTCATCTTTTTACTTAGGTACGTAGAATTCCTACTCAACTGAATTTTGATGGCAAAATTCCTATTTAGGAGGGGAGAGTTGTAACATTCTATTTTTTTTTCTTTATCTTATTATAGGATTTAGATTATATGGGTATGAGATTAATTTATAATATTTAACATTAAAACTTACTGAATAAATTGTAAATCATAATTTTGTGATATACATATAAATTATAAAAAATAAATAAATAAATAAAAATTATATTAAAAAATATTTATAAAAAAATTAAAAATATATATATAATAAAAAGGCAAGTGGGTGGCACGTGGGTCACCCACTGCCAGTTGGAAAGGGGGGGTTTAATCCCCTGGGCCGTGGCCTTCAAAGCTTTAATTAAAAAAAATTATTAAGGCATCAAGTGTGGGCACGTGACCCACACTTGACACTTTGTTAAAAAGCACACACTCAATTCATTGTCCCTTCTTCCGTCCAGCAGCCCTTCATGCTGTTTTGTCTTTGCTGTTCCTCTGGTTCGCCGAAACAGTGAGTGAGAGTGAGTGGGAGATTGAGGGTGTGAGAAAGAAAAGGGCTTTACTTGGGTACATATAAGCTATTTAGGTAAGTCATCTTCATCCTATGTTTTTTATTTAGCTTTTTCTTTTTATTTCTGTAAGTTTATGGCAGAAAATAAAGTTTATTAGGGCTTGTTAGATTTTTAATTTTTAAGGTTTCTAATTTAGTATTAGGATATTAATGGAGCTTATTTGGTTAAAATAAGAGTCTTATGACTTAGATTTTAGTTGGATGGTTGATTTGAGACAATATAAGTTAGGGTTTGCTTGGAAAATTGTGATATGTGTTAATGATAATATTAATTCAAAATTTATCTCTTAATTGCGTTCATTTGAGGTTATATTGAGGATCCAATGCTTGAACTTTGAGGATTGTCGTTGAAATAGTAATGTTGATGATTCTTGGAGAGACTTTAACTAGTGGAAGTTGGGTGTTTGGAGTAAATTGAGTAAAATATTATAAGTTATTAATTCTAATAAATGGGAAATGATTAATGGAAGAAGGGAATAAGATTTTAATAATGATTGAAGGCATAGTTGACATATGGTTATTTTTCTAAGAGTTAAAGTAAGCATTTTTTTTTGGAGGTTTTTAGATGATTTGAAGGGATTATTCTTATTAATAATGTGAATGAGAGAAATAGAGTTGGAAAGCACTAGAAATTGTCACTTGGAAGAATAGATGAATTATTATTTTTCCTAAAGATAATTTTTTTTAAGGTAAGCCAATTATAGGGATTTAGTTAATAAACTATTCTAATGCTATATTAATTAGTCTTTTTATATTAATATATGTTATCAATTTATTATTGTAGAGTGAGCTTGGTTTGGGCTCTTGGGTTTGAATCCTCCTACTTTTAGTTCTTGTATCAAGAACTTGAGGTAACCACTTTTTAATTTACCTTGTATGCTTGTTGATGTGATTATAAGCATGTGTTGATATTATAAATGTTATCATTATATGTTATAGTGGTTTGTGTATAAAAAGTGATATACATATATATCAAAATGTATGTTTTGATAAATTTATTAGTTAAGTGGGCATGAATTATTTTATGAATATCTTATTGATGTTGAACAAATTTGACTATTGAATCTGAGAATACGTTATGAGTACTGGATTGTGTGGAATTGGATGGTTGAGTTGTGCTGTATTGGGTTGTGCTGAAATGAAATTGTGGGAGGTTTGATTATTTATACCACGTGGTATAGCCGCCACTTGGCGCCTAGTGGTTGACATTAACATTCTTAGGGCCCTCGGTATCACCGTTCCTTTGGCTGGGTCAAGGGTCAGTCCAAAGGACATGACACCTTTCCATATTCCAAGGAAAGGGAACCCACAGTCCAATATGAGCTCTATAACTTTTGGCCGAGTTATATCTCATTATTGGAGAGTTTGGTGCAGTCTTGTTAAAGAGACGAATCCTGTTATGTATTATTAGCCCATGGGTTCTGTCAGAGGTTATAAGGAGGTTATAAAGATGGTTGATGAAATTCTGTGCATGCAAGTTACTTTTTGAATTATTATATATTATTTTCTGTAAAGATGTTTAACTTATATGTTATTTGAAATTATACCTTGCCTGCTTAACTATCTTGTAATCACTCCCTGGATACTTGTTGAATTGGAATTATGGTTATCGGGCAGAGCCTTTTTTGGTTATAGGTGACTGTTATTTTGATTACGATTGTTATGGGCAGTGGTAGCATTTATTTTGGTGGACCTAAAATGCTCTAATCCATTCATGATTGGTCATAGTTATTTTTGGGATTTTAGAGATTCATGATGGGATTTGTTATACACATGAAAAATCAAGTATTAATTACTTCTTATTACATTAATTATCTTTACTACTCTAGATTAGTGGCTACTGCACTGTTATGAATATATATTGTTAATGGCTATGGTAATTCCTACTTAAATGTTCTTGGTTAACTCTTTCCGATTAAATTGGTCATTTAAGAATCAATTATTGTTTTCAGAAATGCTTAATTACCACTTATTATGGGGGCTGTTACAATTCACTTGGTGAATGATTTCACTTTTCGTGCCTCAAGAAAAGAGAATGCATATAGGAAGGGAGAGGTTGAGGGTGGTGATATGAAGGAGAGAGGAGAGAGAAAGTGGCAAGAAGATTATTGTACAGTGAGCTAAGTAATAAATAAGAATGAAATTAACTGTGAAAGAATGAGAAAGGCTAAGCTTTTAGGTCTCATTATTTGTTTTGATTTTTTCAATGGTATAAATTTATTCTAGAAATAATTTAACAAAGTTATTTTAAAATGTAAAAAAAAAATCATAAAGAAAGACTTAAAATATTAATAACCAATGGTCAACTCTATACCGA